TGGGTGTGCGGCCGAGGAGAGTGCACGAGTTATCAAGCGAGGAGGAACGGAGAAAGTCTAGAAAGAGCTACGAGGACACAAAAAGACAACGAATATTACACTAGGTACCATAGAGCTGACTATCACGACACAAGAAATCTTTTTTTCCTTTTTCCTCTCCCTCAGAAGGTCCATCTACAAAGGTCTCCTTTTACCAGTATATGCGTGGTGAACTTCAAACAAGCATGGCTAACTACTGCGAATGCAAAAGATAATATACCCAATAAAGTGGAGTGCTGTACAAAAAAGATTTGCGGTCAGCCGGGATTCGAACCCACATCTCACTCTTGCCGGGAGCGCATGCTAACCGTTGCACCACCGACGCTCGTTTTGCACACACTCTTTTAACGCTATAACGCGTTGTCCTGCCAACAGCCAACCGTCAACGATCTGGCGGGCAGCCGCTATCGGCATTGAACCCACTTGTGTTGACAGACATTGGGTATAGAAAATCGGTCAGAATTCTTTTTATTTGACCGCCACTGGCGGTGGTATGATGCTACAATATAGCCAATGATGTGGAGTGCGTGGCAAAAACATTTGCGTCAGCCGCGACTCGAACCCAGATCTCACTCTTTCCGGGAGCGTATGCTAACCGTTGCACCACCGCAAGTGGTTGTCAAATAAAAAGAATTCGGGCAAAGCATAATTTTTTTTTGTTTTACTAAAACGTATCATGACGATCTTTCTAGAGAACAATATTAGCGTCAAAGATAATCTAATAATCTGATAACATGTTCCGAGCCTTTTCTTACTGAGGTCCGGTACGACACTTATGCAGTACTGGATAGATGTTTCGCCATCCAAGGCTCGTCAGTAGTGCGGTGCTTTTCGTTCAGCCGATCCTTTGCTTATGAATATACCTCTACTTATAAATGTGAGAAAATGTTCTATACCAATTGGTGGCGCTTTTTTTCCAACGATATGATTTTCTCGGTGAAAGACGAGAATTCATAGGACACGGCGGGCGTTTTTTTCATCTCAAAAGTACACTTAAAGAAGTCTTTTCAGTGCTATTTCATCACTGAGTAGCGACATGTCCTTTAGCACAATTACCAAATGGATTCCATTACTTCCATTGCAGCACGTCTCACAAAAAGTGGCTGCGAGACGCGACGCCGCCATTGAAGTGGGTGAGCGAGATACGACGTCGCGCGGCGTTACCTATATTGGGTCACGCTGTACCCAGAGGGTAAACCCGGTCGGGACGGCAGATGATCGATTACCTAATTACAGTTTTTTCCCTATGTTTTGGAAAAAAGGATGTTTGGTGTTATTGTGATAGTTTACGATTTTCTTCACACACTTATATGCTTAGGCCCATATACATAATTATATACATATATATATATATATATATATATATGCTGTGTATATATACGCATGTACATTATGCTATATGCTGCATATATATATATATGTATATATATACATATGTATAATATAATATGGGCATATAACTCTGCCCTACAAAGTCATGTATGAAAGGTGATATTCGTTTCGCTCTTTCGGCGCTGCATGAAGACCTTTCCAAAATCAAACGTTACTTTCAGAATCACCACAATTCATGCTATCAAGTAGTTACGAAACTTTCATAAAACTATGCACAGATGCCCTCCGAGCAAAAGATCTGCTCCGAGTGTAAACGTAATCTTATATTCGTTTTCTGCACCGAAGTGAAACGGCCTTTCAGAAAACCAGAAAAATCTGTAATCGTCAAGATTCAAGCTTTTGAATAATTACGAAAAATCTAGGAGTATCGCTCTGTTCATCGAGAAAGGTCTTCAAATAAATCGTGTACTCGGCGAAGTACACGCCGTCCCGAACCGGTTGAATAAGGACTACAATGCATAATACTTGAACAGCACTTAGAAGGAAATCTTGAATGCTGCCGGCCTCACAACAAAACGCCAATATATAGAGAATGTTCTTCGGTTTTTTTTCTCGACAATTCTTATTTATGTAACTTACATGTCCTATGCTTTTGTAGCTATGAATCTCAGGTGTACGTCCTAAGATTTTGCGAGAATCAGTATAGACTTGAACTTAACCAAAACAAGTCAATCATGACCATATATCGAAAAAAATCACTTTGACTATGCGATACCCTCTTACATTTTACCATCAAATACATCTCTGTGATGTGCAAAACTTCTGCGTCAAGCAGGACTTGAACTCGCATTTCACTCTATCCGCGAGCGTGTGCTCTATTCTTTGCGCCACCAACGCCTATTTTGCCACCACTCTTTCTACGCTACAACGTATCCAAACATATTCATGACATCATATCACCTCTAGAAGCGGTTAAATAGAAAGAATTCTGTGTATGGTCTTCAATTTTGTCTTGTGTTATGGATGTCGTAAGATGCTTGTCAAAGCCGAGCCTAAGACTTCCATATAATTACGGAATTGCGTCGGAAAGGGCCGAACCAGCGCCTTGCTTCTAATAGCCTGCATTAGCATTAATGCACTCCGCTATGATCACGAGCTAAGCTCAACAGGTGTAATATCCTGTAGCATCGCATATTCTTCAACTTCTAGCGGTCTGGATAGGCTATAAAACTAAAAAGAATGCTATTGCTATTATGCGAAGTACCTTTTGTTTGAAGTAATAACCAGTTCAAAAACGCTCCTCGGAGATGAATAATCTAGCTCTTGAATTGATCCACAGTAAGGTATAACTAAGAGCGCATGTGGCGCAGTGGTTAGAGGTGCTCTGCGTCGCACACGAGGTCAGTGGTCCGATCTCGCGCTCATGGCTCAACAAGCCATCCATCCCTCCGGGGTCTGTAAATTGGTACCGGTCTGGTCTCAGACTTGTCCGGGAGGATAAGCAGCACTGACTCGGTTCAGCGGGAGGCCATCGCGAGTCATTGTAAAGGCACGATATGCATTCAATCGCCTCAAACGAAATTAAAAAATTGAAGACGAATGCATGGCGCATCCCTCAGGGAATCAACGCCAAGAGCTCTATCCTTTTATCCTTTTAAGGTATAACTGTCTTTGATCTCAAGAACACAACATCATCCATGAACATGTGAACATAAAAACTTCATCAAAAACACCCTTTGATGTGCACAACTTTCGCGTCAGGCGGGACTCGAACCCGCATCTCACTCGATCCGCGGGGCACGTGCTCCAACTCGTTGCACCACTGACGTCCGCTTTGCCATCACTCTTTCTACGCCACAGCGTGTCCATCTGTCAGCGAGCAAGTGTCAACGGCCTGACCCAGGTAGTCACTATCGACACTGAACCCCGTCACGCTGACAAATACTGGGTATTAGAAGATCAAATCGAATCTCAAGAAGGTTTTGTACATGACCCCACATCACTGGGTATATCTGGGACATCACACCACTGCTAAAAGCGGTCAAGTAAAAAGAATTCTATCTGATAATCACATCTCTCACAATTCTTTTTTTTATTTGACCGCTACTTGTGGTGGTATGATGTTACAATATACCCAATAGTGTGGAGTGCTGTGCAAAACATTTGCGTCAGCCGGGATTCGAACCCAGATCTCACTCTTTCCGCTCTTTCAACACAAGTGGGTTCAATGCCGATAGAGGCTACCCCGCCACACCGCAGACGGTCGGCTGTTGACATAACGCGTTGTAGCGTAAACAGAGTGCTTTGCAAAACGAGCGTCGGTGGTGCAACGGTTAGCTTACGCTCCCGGAAAGAGTGTGATCTGGGTTCGAATCCCGGCTGACGCAAGTTTTTTTGCACAGCAATCCACATTATTGGGTATATTGTAAAATCACATCTCTATTTATTGTTGAAGATAGCACTTGAATGATAAAGAAATATAAGCAAACTCCTCAGACAAACGCAACAAATGGTGATAATAGGAATGGACTCGACATCAGAGTTCCAGTAAGCCCAACAAGACGCGCATTGACACCAATGCGTACGGTTGCCGACTTGAAAAAAAAACTAGCCGCTCAGTCGTGAAGGTCGGATAAAGAAAAACTGCTGCGAATTCCGCTTTTTAGATGGCCTGCGTCGTAAGTGCACCATATGCGTTTAACCTGACGTACAACGTGGATCATGCATAAGAAGCCGGAGAGTAGTATGCTCGACGCAGGCTGTATTTACTAGGGCATGGACTTTATTCCTGTTGAATAATTTCACTTATGAGCGCGCGTGTGGCGCAGTGGTTAGGGGTGCACACGGCAGTCACGGAGTCGATGGCTCGATCTTGCGCGGGAGCTCTTTCCTTCTTTATACTCTGTAATTTTTTTGTGGGTATATTTTATAATTCTCATAAATATCACGTTATGAAATCGTGATGTAACTAATCCAGCACTACGGATTATTCGCCAACGGCAGAATGATGTGCTTAAAACTCGCCTATTTTGTTCATATCGGCTTTAACAAAATGTCAGTGCCAAAAGACAATTTTTTTGAAAATTCGTTCTTCAAATAGTAGATCCCGATTAGGGAGGAATTCAGTTTATTTACAAAGAATTTTCATTTTACCGCCTCATCAGCAGCGTTATGACGTCATAAGTTCAAAATATTGAGTGATTCCCTTATCCAGAGCTTCCAAATTCATGCGGGACTTGAACCCGTGTCTCGGCCTTTCGTGGAGCGCGTGCTAACCACTGCACTACTCGCGCTCCTGTTCGCCAAGCGATGATTCTCTGCTCGTTACATGATGTTTGAATTGTTTCACGGAGTAATCTTGAGATTTATTGCTTACTTGGGAGACTCCGAATTGCAAGTTGGCCAGGAAACCTGCGTAATTGGGGCAGGTGCCGATGGCGATAACAGGAATTGAGCCAGTTTCTGAGAGTATGAAGTGGTATGCAAAACGTCCAGCCAGGCTGTAATTGAACCCGCGCTTCACTGATTTCGGAGACGCGCGCTACACTACACCATCAAAGCCGCCGTTCTTCCGCCACTCTCTAAACTAGTGCCCATGCTATATCTAAAATTCGATTAGGTCCTACCACATTTTTTAACTAAGTGGAGCACTTGGAGTTAATGTATACAGCATAGCGTAGTGGTTAAAGATTCCGTGCAACACACGCACACGTAGTTCGTGGTACGAATCTACTGATCTCTAACTGCTGTTTTACTCCACTCATTGCAACTCTTTTCATTAAAGCTTATGCTTCTCACATAGTTGACTCCCCTTGAGGATCGTCATTGTAATTGTGTTATCAGTAAATGCTTCGATGACCCTAAGGTTTTCTCCAGGGCTATGCGTAAATGCTGTGTCATCTCCTGCCGGAAAGTAGGAGCCGTCAGCCCGACGTTGACGTTGTTCAGATGGTGTTCGTCAGCACCGGATTCAGCCAATATCTATCGACCTCCGCACTATCGAAAACCGCATCATCATCGCAAGCCGCGGCATATGCTTGAAGAGGAGTTCCCAGTAAGTTCATGGCTGGCTGTAATTCTTTTCAGTGGTATGTCTTTTTATTAAACCGGTATACTTCCGCGGACCCACGCGGGGCGTGTCGACTCCACCCTCCTCTGCCCTGCTTACTCGCCGACTGCAGTACTACTTTTCCTTGCAAGACCGTACATTAATCAATCCAAAACTTTGCTGCAGATTTTGCAAACGAAGAGTAGTACTGCAGTGAGAGACTAAGCGGGGCAGAGGAGGTGGAGTCGCTCCCACGCTGGTGGACGCGTCCACTTGGGGTCTGCGAGAGTTTACCGGTTAAAAAGGAAGCGAGTAGCCAAAATGCACCTTGCTACTGACAAGGCCGAAAGTGCGAAACAAGTGTCTAGCACTGTTTAGGTGCCATAACATGCCTGATGAAAGACTTAGAATATGTTTTCACAATGTATTATATGTGGTTTATCTATTAGGAGAAGGAAGCAATCTGGGTTTGATATAGTTAGCTGGGATCTCGTGGACCATTTGAGTATAGCGCAGGTTGTTTGTGATTGAAATTGTCATTTTCACTGCTCAGAATGCTGGTGATGCGTCGGGCGCTGGTATACGTCTCTTCGATTACTACAAAACTGCAGAACTTGTCAATCAGCTACCGACGATTCAGGAGAAAATCGACTTTGTTAGTCCATATGAACGCCCATGGACTCGGCCTGAGAAAACCTGGCGAAGGTGGGTGACGTAGTGAACTTGCTCGAATGGCTCATATAGGAAGCTATGGGCTTGTATCTTATAATGGAAAAGTTCGACTTTCTATAAACCTCGGCATAATCAATTGATATATGAAAATGGCGAAAACTTATCTTGATTAGCTGACGCGAGGTTGGTAAAGTTTTTGTAGAAATTCGGCTGACGTTTCGGCGACCTGCCTTCTTTAGAGCCGGGGCGTACGTAGTATTAGTCTATTTAAGTGATTCGGATGGTCTTATTTATATGCTGCCTAGGTCAAGTTAGAAGATCAAACAAAGAAAAGGCGCGAGATCTCGCGTGATGGTGACGCACTCGTCCTTCCGGTTCATTTCGGGATTTTGGGCGTTTATCCAAAATGCCTCAAGAGTTTTGCGCTTTCAAGAGTTCAAGAATCTAAAATAGATAAAACCAAACCTTTAGGTTTACATAGGGCACGAAAACACAGCAACATGGATTTTGATGTGACTATCACAATCCTAGCGCAGGAATCAAAAACATCCGCGCGCAAATCTATTGAGGCATTTTGGGTAAACGCCAAAAACCCCGGAATGAACCGGAAGGACGAGAGCGTCACCATCACAGCGGGATCTCGCGCCCTTTCTTCGTTTGATCTTCTAACTTGACCTGGGCAGCATATAAATAAGACCATCCGAATCACTCAAATAGACTAATACTACATACTCCTAGGCTCTGAAGAAGGCGGGTCGCCGAAACGTCAGCCGAATCTCTACGACTAATTTACCAACCTCGCGTCAGCTAATCAAGATAAGTTTTCTCGATTTTCATATATCTTATAATGATTCAACCCGAATCCTTAGTCGCCTTTAACAGCGTCATGATCATGCAACTACATATTCGATAATGTTGAGTGTTTTCTTCTTCGTTATACGAGAACAAATGAAAAAGCAGTCTAATTCGCCAGGCAAGAATTTTTCAAGGGAGGGTTAGTAACCATTCGAAAGCTTAAATTGCTGGCTATAGCTATACATGGCCGGTTTTTCATAACACCTTTTATAAACGCTGTAAAATTGAAAATAAAATTATGTTCCACAGTACCACGCGTTTTTTCCTTATATCGCTTATATTTCGTTGCACAAAGCTCCCTACTTTGAGTGCTAGTACTCTTTTGATAGCGCTGTAGGAAAGAGAAAACATTTGTATTCTACCCCTAGCCAGGTACAGCTCTTTCTTTAAACTATCAGTAATCATTCGATGGCGTAAGTTTCAATGGTTCCAACGGTGTGCTCATTTTCTAGAAAGACCATTTCGCTGCAGTGCAGCATGAGAAAATCGGCGGGCTTGTTTACCGGCCAACCCACGGCTTGGGAGGCGGGGTGACCGACCGATGCCTTGACGCGTTAGACATGTGAGGTGCAACTTGTTTTCAGTTGAGATTTTCTTGTCCGCTTCGAGAGAAACTCCATATAAAACGATTGATACAGTTACTACAAGTTTTTCTCTACACGTTTATATGCTTCTCATGCTTTCCACGGATTATACGCGTGAGAAAAATGAGAGCGCGCGGAAAGTATGACCATAATCTTTTGAAATTTTTTTCTACGGGTTGTAAAAGGGCCTATTCAGAAAACGGCGATGTGTAGCTGTAGCTGGAGATTTAAGCCTTAAGTGATTGCTAAAACTCCTATGAACACTTCCTGTCCAGCGAATAAAATCGGCTTTTCATGTTTTCGGATAACGGGGAAGAGCCGTTGAGTGAGATGCAAAACATTAATCCTCGAGAGAATCGAGCCCACATCTCACTCTTTCCACGGGCTCGTCACAGAAAGAGTGATATCAGAACAGGAGGCCAGGTAGTGCAGTAGGTTAGCACACAGCCCGGAAAACGTGGATGGTGATTTGATTTCTGCCCGGAGTTCAAAGTTTGCATATCACTCAACATTACCGGATGAACACCGTATATATTTAGAGCATGGCACCCAGCGCTGATGTCTGCTCGTAAAGCTTGGGCGCTTCCATTGGTTCCAAAGTATTTCGACTGTTTAAAGTACTACCAGTACATCACGAAGAGCCGTCTTGTCGAATCGTCACTCGACGGTTATTACGCCGGTTTGGTCCCTCCCACTGCAAAATATGAGGTCGTCGTGAGGCTTAGTCTTTTGTCACTTGTTTTTGCTATGCTCTAAATCTTTTTAGAAGGCTGTACAAGAGAGCTTGAGCTCGATTTTGATGTCAGATCGCTTTGATTCGGAAGACGAGCGAGTTTCCGCTATTCTGGCCTCTCTAGTGGATGAAGCCATTTTCAGTGTGGCTCACAACGTTCCGCGTCTGGGTGACTATAGGGTGAGTTTTCCATAATCTGTTTGTATCCATTTCATTGAGCATATTTTTACCATCTCATATGTTTCTATTTATCAAACAGGTTGCTTATGATGTTCAAAGCGAGTCGTTTTGGATTCGTTCAGGCTTTATGTTTTCTGTACGATAGAAAGCCTATCGGTAGCGATGCTGTGGAAAGGAGATTGACGTCTGCGAAGTTTATTGGAGATGATAGGTGAGAATAGCATTATTTTTGCAAAATCTAATTTTTCTTTTTGAGAAAGCCTTGCTGTAAATCACTTTACCTTTCCATTATCGCAATTCATTTTACAACCCTTCAGGCGCATGACGTTTTCCGCTTTTGTTCAGTTCTTTAGTAACATTCGATAACTCAAATTTCGACTGTTCCATTACTGTCTTTGTCGTCTGAAAATACTTTCTCAGTCCATAGTAGTGGCTCAGATGAGATTGAGTTTCACACTCGGCGCACATTATCGCACTTATTTCCGCTATTTTTATGAAGACTTTTCCTCCGTTCCATATGAATGTCCATGTTCACCATATCAAAGTTGTAGAAAGAACAAAATTCCAGATACCCATTGATGTAGAGCGATGTGCAAAACTTTGTGTAAAATGGGCGTCAGTAATGTAACGGATAGAGCACGCATTCCCGGAAAGAGTGAGGTGCGGGTTCTAGTCCGCCTGACGCGAAAGTTTTGCACATCGTTCTACATCAATAGGTATCTAGTTGTAACATCATAGCACCGCTAGAAGCGGTTAAATAAGAAGAATTTCGTTTGAACTTTATTCTGTTGTACAGTGGGTACGAGCTTTTCAGTACCTTTTTTATTGCCAAATGAACTCGCTATCAAACCTAAGCCCAAGCAGCCTAAGCCTAGGAATGTGAGACGTAATCTTTTTTCCCTCTTCTAGTGCTCATGAAGATCTCAGGTTTCGCGATCACCTAAATTGACGCTATAAAATGGTTACCAAAACTAGTACAAGATTTCTGTCTTAACTGTTTTTTCGCACTGTTATGTTGTTTCAGATATACGTTAGAGAATTGGGTGGTATAGAAAAATTTGGCCTCAGACATGAGTTAAACCCGCGTTTGACCCATACCCAATTACTCGAAATCTCTGTCAAAAGTCTATCCTCAAACCCTAACGGCTTTGGTGCCGTTTGATGCGAAATCCCATCAACCCACCTACTCTCAGGCGAGTAGAATCTGCGCGCGCGAATA